CGGGGGGGGGGTACAGCAATGCGTGGTGGCGAGACGTCGGTTCGAATTTCGAAGGTGCTGCGTGTGAACCTGAGTTAACAATTTCTTGACTGTAAATTCCTTTGAAAATGAATTCTCGCGACATTGCAACCAGCTGAAAATATGTATCGACTTGAAAGCACTACATCGAATACAATAACAATAAAATATTGTAATTAATTTTAGGCATTAGTCGAGACACCTTAAAGTAGTGAAAATATGTAAAGTTTAGGTGATGCTGGAAGTTTTCAAATAAATAGTTATTCATTAACAAAACTCCTTTCTATCTTACTAACTTTTCGCTAGCCCCAGACGCACTGGGAAATTATACAAAACGAGAAGACAGCTTTGAATCAGACCTGCTTGCAAAATCGAATAAGGCCATTATCGCATCAGTAAAAATTGTTTAGAATCAATCTGAAGTACAATTTTTAAAGGTAAATCCATAAATAAACTTAGAGTACGTCATTTAAGCCGCGTTAGCCTCAGGTGACGATGAAAAAGCAGCACACGTTTGAGAAACAATAACCGCTATTTTTTCGAAGCTCCATTTCGAACACAAATAGTGATGTGAACAGCATAATAAAATGTAAACAGCGCGAAATCCATAAATCCTAAATGTAGACGTTTTGGCCCTTTTTTAATGGGCCTTGTTCAACGTATAATTATTCTTTACATGCAACTAGCACTGAAATCTTTTCGGTAGCTAGACCACTTCCAGTCGCAAAGTATGACCAATGCTTTGGGCTATGTTGAACAAACCAAATTTTTATTTTATTTCTGTTCATAAACAAGATATTTTATTATTAATGATTAGTACGGTGTTGCTTTCTACAATGCAACCGTATAGCAGCATAGATTGCTACAGACGGTTGTAGACAATCGTCCATAACCTCCGTACACCAACCGAGACACTGCATTTCACTAGAAAATAGCAAGTACCATCCACTCAGAGGGGTCACGACATGAATGTGCAAGATTAACCTAGGTTAATATAAAGAATTTTCAAATCTTGACCTTAATCAGTGTTATGCTTTCATTGTTTTTAGTCACCATCCATCAAGTATCATTTGCTTTTTTTATCAGTGTTTGCGCAAGCAGTTTCACTCATCGTTCCAACTCACATAGAAATGCAGTTTTCAATAGCATTTGTCGATAAGAGTACGAATGAAACTGCGCCGTTGTCGGTCTCAAGCCAGGATGAGAAAACAGGAGGGTTGGAGACCGTGGCAAGTCTCCGCAAACGTTCGCCACCTGCCACTCATGTAATTGACAACTTAGAAAATTATACCGGCTCGGTTGTCGCCT